GGTTGGTAGTAGTAGTAGAGTGTAGTAGAGTAGAGAGAGAGAGAGAGAGAGAGAGAGAGAGAGAGAGAGAGAGAGAGAGGGACCCCAGAGTTTATATTTTACTATAGCAAAGGTAGAAAGAGGCCCTAGAGGTGGTGAAGTGAGAGAGCCAAGAAGTGGTAGCTGTGAGAGAATTTCCAATGGCTGGTGGGGATAGATGGAGGATCCATCATAAAAAAGATGTGATGGAGGTCTCCAAGGTCCATCATTGGACCTTTTGAGGCCGTCGAAAGGTAATAAAGGTGAAACAATCAAAACACCAAATGCAGCCAATACGCAACACGTTGCTCCATCAAATCTTTCAGAATGTCCCATTTTGGTAGTTAAGGAGGCCATCTGTAAAGAGAGAGAAGAGCTGTTGAAGTTGGTGGTAGTTAGATCTTTTAATCCTTTGCCGGTTGTTTTGACTACCATACATCTATTGATGAGGAATGCTTGGAACATCAGTCAACCAGCGTTCTATCGTAAACTTCCAGGAGAGAGTGTTGTTCTGTCTTAGTTCTGCAGATGAACCATACAGGGTGTGGAAGCATCGACGCTGGAGATATAAGGGCTCGCTGCTAACTGTGTTTCCCTGGACACCCAATATTTGCCCCTTGCTGGCAGCCCCTAAAGAAAGATGGTTCGGGGCATGCGGGATACCTCTTCATTCATGGACTTTTGAAGTATTTAAACAATTAGCAGAAGTGTGTGATAACCTTATTCAGATTAACTGGAAAACCACAAGTGGAATGTCTCTTGGCAGCCCACACTTTAACTGGAGGTTAGAGAAGGTTTGAGGCCCCCTTCAATGGTTATACTGAGGATACGAAACAGGGATTTTAGGATGACTATGAGCCTGAAGAAAATCATTATATTGGGGCACAAACTATGATAGAGTGGACCAGAGTTTCCTTCTGGATAAACCAGAAATTTGCAATCCATACCAAAAGGTGCTTGGATTGATAGTGGGCCCAGTAGATACATGTCAACACAGCCCCACCCTATCAGATTACAACAGGTACCCCCCAGTCAAATGTGGTGCCCAACATCCAAATTCGGATGTCCTTTTTCAGCCAAGGTCTAGCAGCCAAAGAAAGATTCAAATTTTCAAATTCAAACTGATGATATACCCATTGCTTCTGAGGAAGGTTCATCTAATGGTGCCTTTGGGCATTTGGTCACTGGCCTTATTGTTCCTTCATCTAATGACCTGCTGTTACCTTCTCTTCATGATGATAAAGATATCGCTTGTCATCAGGAAAAGCTGACAGTTCTTGATGATCTGCAACCTTCCTTGCCTCAAGAAAACACAGAGAAGGTTCATCATGATGAAATGGAGTAACCTACGTGTCCCCCAATAGTTGTCCCTAGCCATGTCTGGGCCATTATGCTTACTCTTGTCAATGTTTCCCAACCTTGGGGTACCAACAAAGCCTGGAATCATATTACCCTTACAGCCCCAGTAGGAAACCAAGGACCTAGAAACTCTACTAGCTCATCCACTTGTGGTCCCAACAATTTATAGAGCCCACTGTTCGATCACACGAGACAATACGAGCTAAGGATATGAGGCACCTTCTCTACAGAAGTACAGCTAGAGTTAACAAAACACTTAGGATGGTTGGATACCCCAACTCTGCTCGAGGGTGGCCAAGAAAAGCAGCAGAGGTTGGTTCCATTGAGTCACATCCCAGATAGAGGAAGGCTACTTGAGAATCCTTTGGTGGTCGTGTTGGCCCCTGGGAGAGAGCCTTGGTTTCCCCCACAAGAGTTGCAGTGGGAGATGGGGGAATCCTCTGAGCAGGACCACCAAGAGCCTCAGAAAACAGGGTTTCCAGAACCTGTTTATGTGGATCCTATCTCCTTTTTTCCACCACAAGAAGTGATGGTCAATCCCTCTGAAACCTTGGAAGAATCATTGATGCCAGAGTTAGAGTTGCCCAACTCCTTGGAGGAAGTCTCAAGCTTTAACCCCAGAGAAGTTGGCCACGTGCTGGATGCTATGAATATCGATTACAGTGATTCTCTTGAACTGATTGGTAAGGCTATGGAACCATCAAACAGAAGGAATACACCCCAGGCTGATTGCCAGTCTCAAAGGGTACCCAAAGGCAGCAAGGGCAAAGGGAAAGCATACCATGAGCTTTCCAATTTGGTGGCCTCAATCGATTATGACTGGAATATCACTGTGGGTAATGAAAGGACATTTTCAGGCTCTGTACTAGCTCCGCCTGCTGGCATTTCTTCAGCAACCAGACGTGGCACCGGTTATAATTCCAGATGAAAATTCTAAGTTGAAATGTGAGTTAGCTTGGGAGATTCTAGGAGAAAAAGGGACCTAGCCACCCTAATAAGAAGAGAAAAGCCAGATGTGGCCCTTACTCAGGAAACTAAAACCCATGCTCCTACCATTTTGATTGTAAGGCCTCCATGAGGAAGAAGGCCACTGCAGGTTTTTGGTACTGCTGCTGATGGCACTTCAGGTGGATTATGGATGATATGGGATCCCTCAGTATGAATGCCAAGCAATTGTGCTGGAGGTAACATATTTGTTTCTGTTTCTTTTGAAATTCCCTCTTTGGGCTTGAATGTTGTTAATACAAATGTTTATGGGCCGAGTAGACCTTTCGAGAGAGATCCATTTTGGCAAGAAATTTCAGCTTGATCTACTGGAAATGGTGTGCTCCAGTGTGTAGCAGGGGACTTTATTGTCATTAGATAGCCCAATTAATCGAATTCGGCTTCTAGAATTACCCCATATATGAGAAGGTTTTACGCTTTCATCAATGCTAATGGCCCTTCTTTATTGTCATTAGATGGCCCAATTAATTAAATTCGGCTTCTAGAATTACCCCATGTATGAGAAGGTTTTACTCTTTCATCAATGCTAATAGCCTAATAGAAATTCCAACTGAAGATACCAACTTTTCATGGAATGGTAGTGGTGTGCAGACCCCTTATATGTCCAAATTAGACCGCTCTTTGCTTAATCCTAGTTGGGACTCTTACCTTTCCTAAAACTTCAGGTAAAGCCCTCCCTAAACTCTGCTCGGACCACACTCCTGTCTTACTCCAAACTAAAGGGTCTCTGTATGGCCATGTCTGTTTAGATTTGAAGTGGGATGCCTGCATGATAGATCTCTGAATGAGTTGGTCTCTCAGGTTCAGTCAAACACTCAAGTGATGGGTTGGGATGGGTTTAGACAGTTCAAAAAACTTCAAGCTTTGAAATTTAAAATTAAGGAATGGAAGAGAGATACTTTTGGGTCCCTGCAAGGTAGAATAATTGACTTGATTAACCAGTTTGAATAGATAAGCTGGAGCAGCAAGTTTGACGGGAGCTGAGCCAGGCTTAAATGGGTAGTAGAACTAATCTGAGAGTCCTAAATGAATGTCAGGAGTTGGAGGAAATTTTTAGAGGCAAAGGTTCAGAGTTAAATGGTTAAAAGAGGGAAACAGAAACACCAAGTTTTTTCATTGAATTGCAAATGCCAAAATAAGGGTAAATATCCTTGATGGACTAAAGATACTAGGAGTTGATGAGAATGATAGAGAAGCCTAGATAAGGGCAATCATGACCCATTTCAGAGAGGTTTTCACTGCTAAAAAAGACCAGAAACTTCCATAGATTGGGTGCCTTTCAAACTACTATGACTGGGGGATGCAGAGTAGTGAGAAAGACCATTTACAATGGTTGAGGTGCATAAAGCTGTTTGTGCTCTTGGAGGAGATGGAGCGCCTGGCCTGATGGCTACCCCATGGCTTTCTTTCAACACTTCTGGGATGTGGTATAAAGAAGATATTTTGGCTATGGAGGAATTCTTTCTTTCAGGAAGGATTAACATAGCTCCCCCCCCCCCACCCAAATCAGTTTTCATTTCCAATAGACAAATCATAGACAACATCCTAATAGCCTAAGTATGTGTTAGAATGTTGGGTAAATTAGACCTCGAGAAGGCCCACGACTGGGTGGATGGGAATTTTTGTCTCATATAATGAGGTGTATGCGATTTGGGCTTAAATGGAGGGAATGGATTGATGGATGTTTTTCATCTGCTCATTTCTCAGTGTTAATCAATGGCAAGTCTCGTGGATACTTTAAGGCACAAGACAGGGTGACCCTTTGTCTGCCTTCTTCGATACAATGGTGGCAGAATCTTTCATACGATTGATTACATTGGTTTGTGAAAGAGGTCTAATTTCAGGCTTCTTACCAGCTCCCTTGGGTCCTCTTATTACTCTTAATATGCGGATGATGCATTGTTATTTTGTGAGGCAAGTGAAGCTTTGAATAACAATGTAAAGCTGTTCTTAGAATGCTTTTAGGTGGTTTCTGGCCTCAAGGTTAATTGGCAAAGCTGAGCATTTTTGGTATTGGCTGTGAGCAAGTGATGGTGGAGAGATTTTCATGCAAAATGGAATGCTCAGTGAACAAATTGCCTATGAAGTGTCTTGACCTTACGATTGTTAACGGTGCACTACCAATGTCAGATGGGACCCAGTCATTGAGAGATTGCAGTTTTTTTTTTTATAGGTTGTTAACATTGTATAGATGAAATATAGTACAAAAGAGTCCCGAGGGGAGAAAGAAGAAAAAAGGGTCATTGAGAATAGTGACTGAAGCCAAAAAGGCATACACATAAGAAAAAGACAAAAGAAAAACAAATGATAAACGCCTAGCATCCAAGCGTTATGAACTGTGCCCTGAACCCAAAATGGTCCCACTTTTAGTGAGGTCATCTGCGACGTGGTTGGCCTCCCTCCAAATATGCCTCCACAAGACCTGCATATGCCTACAACGATCACGAATTTCATCAAACATATGCCAGAGTCTCCATGGGGGTTGAGAAAAGCAAGAAGCCCAAGAGATGACGTTCTGGGAATCCCCTTTGACAGTGAGAAGAGGGCCCCCGGAAAGGTTGAAGAGCCTAAGGCTTTTGAAAAGAGCCCTGGTTTCAGCTTCAGTTGAGTTGGCAGTCCCGATAGATGAGGAGGAGAGGGTTGAAATACCGTCAGCATTTCTAAAGATTCCGCCAATTCCTGCTGGGCGGGGGTTGCCCAGGGAGGACCATCAAAGTTCAACTTGATGACACCCCTGTCTGGGGGCCTCCAGAGTGCCGAGCGAGGCACCTTCCTTGGTCGATGATAGAGAATTTTGGCCCAGTTGAAATGAAAGTCTGCGGCAGGGAGAAATCTGAAGTGATTATGGTTTGTGGCCCAAAAGATGACACAAGCTCGAATAGTATCCTTGATCTTGGAGGTAGGGGCCGAGATGCTCCTACCATAAGGTCCAGATGATAGTTCAAATTGGATATTTGGAAATTGCAGTTCAAATTGGATATTTGGAAATCAAAGTTGCTAAACTTGGGAGGTTTTACAATCCAACCTGTCCTTATTTAGAGTCCCTGCCCAGATAATAAATAAACTTGAAAGCCTTACGAGGAAATTCCATAAAAGAGGAGGAAATTCCACTTGGTAGCATGGGATAAAGAATGTTTGCGAAAAAGAGAGTGGTGGTTTAGGTATCATAAAACTCAAGCATAGTGATGCTTTATTGACTAAATGGTGGTGGAGATATTCACAAAACCATGGCCACCTATGGAGACCAGTTCCATAGATTCTAAATATAAACCCTAACTTGGTGTAACTAGACTGCATGGATGGTCAAGATGCTCACTGATGTGGAGAAATATAAGGGGGAGTCAATCCTTCTTCATGGCTAATGCGAGAATGTTAGTTGGGGATGGAAGGAAGATCCTTTTTTGGCATGACAAATGGGTCGGTGATCATCCTGAAATGGTAGTATCCTGAAGTCTGTAGTAAAGTTAGATTCAATGGGGCTTGTGCCCAAGGTGAAGATTGGAATACTACCTAGGCAAACTTGGGCAAAGCTTGCCGCACAAGAATGAGTGATGCTTTTATTTCATGAAGTCTGCAGTAAATTAGATTCAAGAATGAGTGAGGCTTTTATTTCATAGGTCTCCAATGTGTGTATTACCGCTCTTTTGGACCTGATGGAGTAATTTGGGAACACAATGAGGATGGAAGTTTTTCATTCAAATCAGCCCACGAACTTCTAACAACGGATAGATTCAGATCCCTCTCATGATATAGTTCAAAAGGCCCTGAATTCCCTATCCTGCACCAAGCATTTTTGTGGGTTCTATGGTTGGGAAAAGTGCGCACAACTGAGACTGTGGAGGAGAGGAATGATGCCATAAATATTTGGTTAATGTGTAAAGTGAATGCTGAGAGTATTGGACATGTTTTCATGCACGGTGGTTGGGCATCAAATATTTGGTATTGGGCTTTTAGAGTAGAGAATTTAATTGGGCTGTCCCAAGATCTGTTTATTGTTGATTTATCAATGGTTTTCCCCTCCCTATGATGAAGTAGGGACTGCAATTTGGTGGATGCTGTTGGCAGCAGTATTTCGGCACTTATGGAAGGATACAAATAACGGAACATTTGAGAGCAAGGTGTCCGAGATGCAAGCAATTAAAGAGGATATTTTGTTGACTGTGATAGTGAACTAAGCTAGCTAAAGGTGTGTTCAGGCATATCATTCCGAGACATTTGAAGGGAGCTTAAATAAAACGCCCGGGCTTCAAAGGAATAAGGAGAGGAGAGTAGTGGTATGATCAGCTTCGCCAGTTAATGCGATTAAATTGAACTTTGATGGTTGCTAGTTGGGCAACCCTAGGGCATTGGGGATTAGGGGCATCATTAGAGATTATAATGGTGCAACGCTCCTATCTTTCTCTGGCTCTTGTGCAGTATAGTAACAGCTAATGAAGCTGAGTGAGGGCCCTCCTACAAGGGATTTAACTGCTGCCAAGAAGCTCGCACTTGGTCATAATAGACGTGGATTCTCTCAACATGGTGCTCGAACTGAAACAGTGCCCCTTGGAAATTACATCTTTTTTTGTGGGAAATCAAGACTTATGTACAATATTGATGTTGTATTCAAAGTATGTTTTAAGGTAAGCAAATGAGGAGGCAGACCTATGGCCTAACGGAATGGCCCTTAATAGAGCGGACCAAGATTCTTATAGCTGACCCCAAATAGTTCGAAAAAAGCTATAATGATGATGATGAAATGAGGAGGCAAACATGCTTGTCAAAAATAGAGTATCTAACTTGAGAGTTGTCAGTATTTAGTGTGCGAGTGGTAGGGAGATGACAGCTCATCTTTTTGTGAGCTTTGTGTAGAGATGTCCTTTTTTATATCTTACTTGGACCATCTCTGTGGGGTTCATACAATTTTGTAAACTGCTGTACGTTGAATAGAAAGATATAAGTTAACATCCAAATTCAAAATCATGAGAGAGAGAGAGTCCCGGTTGTCAGCTTGATTTGTACAAGAGATTCAAGACTGCCCTAGTTGACAGATTTTGCGCATGAAGACGTTGATTTTGCACAAGCTGATTTTTTTTGTCTTAAGGTTAGTCGTAATTACACAAGATAATGTGCTTTCACTATACATTTTGTTGGACATTCGGAGATTTTTCTCTCTTAAATCCCATTGTTACTTAAATGTCATGTGACCTTCGATGACCAGTTCTTAAGATCGTAAAAAGCTCAGCCCGTGAGAATGATCAGAACTTAGATTGGATAAATCAACAAAAGTTCATCAAAATGCATATTATTTAACATTTAAACCATTTCTTTTGATTTAATTTGAAAAAATCCATCAAAAAGCACGGATCATCAATTGGAATTGAAAATCGCAAAGTCAAAAGACTTCATGATTCTGAGGGAACATATGGTCCATTCACTCCCTTGAGGCAAACCCAATCTTAAGGTATTTTGAGGACCCCAAAATTTGGTAATATAACATCTTCAACCTGCATACTATGCTCCATTAAAACAAAAGTCTTAACTGAAAAAAATAATAAGGCCTCTAGATTGAATAGAACCTTTTTCGAAAGGTGAAATTCACGCCTTTGAATATTCAAAATTTCATTTTTTTCTCTTTTGAATATAATATTGTTATTTTTAGGTGGTTCCCAAAATTTCAGATTAAAACAATCTTCCCAAGTGAGACTTCTGCTACAAGGAGTGCTCAATGGTTAAAATATTAAATAGTTTATACTTTTATTTTTGATAAAATTCCCATAAATCTAAAAAGAAAATAAAGAAATGAACAATGGACATGGATCACCTGTCCAACCTCATTACCATTCAGCTTGTTAAATCTAAGATGAAACAACTCGAGAGGAGGAACACTGAAATAATTTTCTTGAGGCATCCAATGGCATATCCCAAACACTTACAGAGATCAATATGGGCTTGACACATCAGTTAAATGTTCGCTGATATTCAAAAACATTCTTCTAATAGAGAATGAAAAAAAAGAGACAAAAACTCACATATTTTAAAGTGTTACATGATATCCAAAAATACTCTTTGTTCTGAGATGCACACATACATACGAATAGAAAAGTTGCTCACTCGGAAGCACAAGTACTCCCGCAGACAAGGGATTGCCACACATAACTAAAATAGACTCCAAAAGTAGGTAAACATGATTTAGTCTTCAAGCTCAATTATCTTAACCACAGATGCATCTCCCACTTTTTGACAGATGACAACTCTGTCGTGCGATTTGATTACCCCTGAAGCTTTCCCATGATCAAGTGCAACCTTCAAAACTGACTCATTGGTGGCACTTGTTGATTCAGCCTGCAAATTCATATACAAGCCTCAACTTATAAACAATGACCACCAACCATGAAAACAAAAAAAGTTCATATGAGGCAATCGAAGGATACGAGCAAGGGGAAACCAGCTCACCTTAGTCACAATCAAACATATAGATAGAAACTTACTGAAAATACTAGTAACTGCGAGGTTAAAATATAGAATGCCCATGACAAATTTAAAAGCAAACTAGGAATGGGGTTGGGGTCGTGGTGGTAGCACCTCCACACCCTAGTCACCACGTTGACGTTTCCATTCCCACTGACACCACCCCACTAACACATTCAAAACACTAACTCCTAAACCCTAAACCTTGTCTTCCCCACTGAATTACCGAAAAAAAATTAAAAGCAAGCATGGCAGACAACGTTTATAAGAGGGTTACCAAACTATTTTCTTAATATTTTAACTCCCTATATCATAGACTAAGCGAAAAAAATGATGCTAATTTCCAATGAAGCATTCACAAATCCACCTTTTGAATGTCTCCCTCGTTTACTATGATTAGTACATATCTCATTGGATATATAAAACTACTGCAAGTTGTAAGATCTATGGGCCATACAACTAAGATAATATAAACCTATTAGGTATTGTAACTTCTGCAACTCATTGCAAGAAATATTCCTATACATGTTTGGTGTTTTCCTTCCCTTCCTATCATGCAGTATATATGAAATCGAATAAATTATACAAAACATGTACAAAGCAGAAAACATTCCTTTGCAAGGAGTATAGTGATGTATATGGAGAATGGGAGAAAAAAATACATCTGCAAACCAACAAAATGAATTTTAAAAAAGAGCGAGACAATATATCATCTCTCTGGATCTAGAAGGGAACCTATCACATAGGTTGAGAGCACCACTCAAAGGATCTTTTCACAAGATCTAAAACACAATTCTTCGTCCTCTTCTCTATATTTTTCTTATCCAGCACTTAAAATCTTTATAAAAGAAAAACCATAAAACTTAGCTTGCTCTTTAAGAAACCTTAAGCACAATAAAATCCTAGCACTTCATCTATTTAAAGTAAAATTCTAACTTTACCTTTCAATGATCTACAACTATATCTTGAGATAAAAAATAAAAGAATAAATAACCCCAAATTCATTTTAGTCTCCTAAAATTAATATTTAAAAAAACACTAACCGCATCACTCTCGTGGGGTTGGTAGAAGCCCGTCGTCGATCTTAAGAAATTCAAAAATTCCCCAAAGGTCTTTTCAATAGTTGGCAATAGAGTCCACCATTTGCCTAGGACATTATCTTTTTCGATGAATCAACTAATCAATTACTTAATGTGACACTTGTAGTTGACCATTGGAATATCGAGTATAATCTTGATTTCTCTTTCGAGCTCCTCCAGCAAGTCACTCCAATCAATGAAATTCTCAAATGAAGTCAACTGGTCAATAAAACCATCGATGCAAAGCTAACCATGAAACTTGGGAATATCGATCTCAATATAGTAATTCCGTAGACGCTCCATAGGTCGTGGTTCTTGCCTCCAAATTTTCTCATTACATACAAGGACAATACACGGAATCAGTCATGGATCTCCATTCAACCCTAGGGCAGGATTTGGTGTTGCATCTATGGGATTGCAAGCACCCTTTTCTTGGGGATCGTTGTTCACCCATTTCTCCTCAAATTTCGTGAATTTTGCTTGAGTTGAATATCTTCCCTGGCTTTATTTATGCTATGATTCATGACCTCCATTATCCTCTCGATTGTAAGAGCGGTTTTGCAAAAAATTTAACGGATGGATCTTCTGAATCTCATATACCAATTGATGTAGGGAGAAGGGGAAAGGAACTAAATTGCAACAAAAAAAATAAAATTTAAAGAATGTTGTATTACCCTCTCTGAGTCTACAGGAAGTCCATCCCAAAGGTTGAGAGATTTAAGCCTCACTCTAGATCTGTGTGAGAGTCCAGCCCAAATTCCACAAAACCTAAAAAACAAATCTTTTTCCTCTTCTCTATATTTTTCATGCCCTCAAACCTAAAAATCTCCTTAAGAAACCCTAACCACAATTAAATCATAGCCTTTCATTCGTTTAAATTTAAACTTCCAACTATACCATTCAATTCTCTACAACTAAAACAGTCACGAATACCCTACGATAAAAAAAAATCAAGGACTAAACAACCCTCAAGCTCATTTTATTATATTAAAAATTAAAAAAAATAGAAATCTAACTACATCACACAAGTTCAAGGGTTATTCTGCTCAAATGTTGCAAGCCACATTTTACAATACTTTTCAAATTATTGATAGCACACGAAGTTACCTCTGTTCTGACGTGCTCTTTTTTTTTAATGAGTATCATTTAGTATTACTTTAAACAATTCTAGTAGTCTATTATAAAGGTAGAGTTTTCTTTGAACTATAAAGGAAAAGTTGTTGGGATGGGAAACATTGCTATATTATAAGTTGTCTTCTAGAAGCCCATGACGAGTCATGCATGTTGCTTCAAACATTCTAGTTTAGCATAAGGCAAAAAAAGAGATTAGAGAGGAGTTAGAGAGGGACTAGTTATGGCGAATGCCATCTCCCTCCCCAAGATAAATAGCACTTGTGCATTCTCTCTGACTTGCACCCGACATGGCATAAAGCAACAGAGCAATCAATTAGAGATAAAGTAATGTGCCACATGCCTTCTCTTCCTTGGACATGCATAACATGTGTCTGTGTGCAAGCACGTGTATATATAGATCAATAGAGAGATAGTTCGTGTATACTTCCCATTGAACATTGTCTCTTAACATCCTCAAAAACATTGACCATCGACAGAATTTGATGAGTCACTACAAACCTTAATTTCCTTTTTCTGACAAGTCAACCACTCTACACCTTGGCTTTATCAAAAGTTTAACCCATTCAAAAGTAAAATCTCAACGACACAAAATAACAGAGAAGTGATTTTAAATGTATGAACAGAAGTCATTTGGATGATAAATTTTTCCAAAGCACAGTCTACTTTCATCCATATATGTGTCCACTATTAATATTATTAGTGCATGCAACATCGTTTGATCCTAATGTCACATGCAACCAAACAAGAATATGCATAACCTCAATGATAAAAATTGTTTAAAGGTTTGGCCTCTCGCCGCAGAGCTGTTCTTAGCTGGGTAATCTCTCCAACCCAAGGGGCTTTTGTGAAGGATCACCAGATCCCCAGATCCTCGATGGGGCCCTCATTGCCCATGAATGTATTCACTCCCACCACCTCTCAAAAACCCTAGGTCTTGTAGTCAAACTTGACTAGGAAAAACTTTATGACCATGTAGATTCTCAATAAGACCCTCTCCAGAATGGACTTTGGGGCTTTATGGAGGAAATGGATTCAAAGATGCATATCCAAACCCTCCATCTCAGTACTCATCAATGGTTCCCCTAAAGGATAGTTCCAGGCCTCTAGAGGCCTACGCCAAGGTGACTCTCTGTCACCATTCCGCTTCGCAGTAGTGCCCGAGGTCTTCAGTGCCTCCATTTCTGGAGTATATCAAACAGACTACTTCACTGGCTTCCACACTGGCAGGTCGGGACCCACCATCTCCCACCTTCAATACGCAGATGACACTCTCTTGTTCTGAGATTCCTCCCATCAAGTCGACTACCTCCTCTTTCTCCAATGTTTTGAGCTTGCCACGGGCTTTAGAGTTAACATGGATGGGAGTTGGCATTGATAATTCTCTAGTCCAAAGCCTAGCTGACAGCTGGGGATGTGCGGTTGAAGAACTCCCATCCACTTACTTGGGACTTCCTCTATGCCTTGGCGTGCCGAGACTCAGCCCACAGAACCCCATTATCTACAAATTCAAAAGGAGGCTCGCCAAATGGAAAGGGACATTCCTCTCCTCTGCTAGAAGACTGACTCTCATCAAGGTTACCCTCCCTAACATCCCTTTATTCCTTATGTCTCTCTTCCATATGCCAGCCTCAATCATCGTGAGACAAGAAAAGCTCATGAGAGGCTTCAGGAGGTCGGGAGAATGGGGCCATCTTATCTCCTGGGCTAAGGTGTGCTCTCCCAAAGCATATGGAGGTTTGGGCATCCGCTGTTTAAAATCTAATAATATTGCTCTGTTGGGTAAATGGTGGTAGTGTTATGCCAATCAACCCAACCACCTTTGGAGAGAGGTGATTCACCGCAAATACTGTCGTGGGGACCACGCTCGGCTTCCAACGTGCAAGACCAGTGGCAACGTTTAGGGCTTCTGGAGGTCTATCCTTCACAGCCGCAACCTCTTCGTTAATCTAGCTCCCTTTCGCCCTAGGAAGGGCAACATGGTGCTGTTCTGGTAAGACACTTGGATCGGTTACCTCCCACTTAAGGACCAGTTTCCAAATCTTTTCATCCTCTCGCCCAAAATCCTCTCTCAACGATGGCTGATAATTTTCTATGCTCTGGCCCTACCAGAACCTAGAATCCAAATTTCAGAAGGGGCCTCACAGACCATGAGATGGGGGAGTGTTTGGAGCTTTCAGCTCTTCCATACCCGATGTTCCTCCCCCATTCTGGGGGAAGACAAGATTGTCTGGTCCCCAGCCTCATCCATGGTCTTCACAGTAAGACTCTTTCTATACAGCCATCACCTTGCCTCCTACCCTTCCCGCTGCCCTCCCCTCGATTGTGGCCAAGGCTTGGTTCCCATTTATTCCTCCTAAAATTCAAGTTTTCTGTTGGGTCACCCTTCATGAAAGGCCCCTAACAGTTGATCAACTTCAGAGAAGAGGTCTTCCCTACCCAACAGATGTGCCATGTGCCTAGAGGCTGAAGAGACAAATGCGCATCTCTTCATCCATTGTGATGTAGCATCAGCCCTTTGGACCAGTATGCTCCAACTATTCAAGTGGACCTGGGTCACCCCTCAGTCCATCCTCACCTCTTTTCTACCTGCCTTCACACTCCCTGACCAAATCAGGCAATCTCCTCTGGAGGGCCTCAATTGCTGCCACCTTGTGGACGATTTGGCTCGAAAGGAATAGCAGAATTTTCAGGGCTGAGAAAGCCTCAATCCCTACCTTAATTGACAATAGTAGAACTTTACTTGCTTTCTGGGATAAAAACCACAAAGATTTCAGGAACTTCTCTTTTGCTGACCTCCACCATAACTGGCAGGCCCCCTCTTGAACCTTTAAGAATATCCCATTCTTCTCTTTGGAGGCCACCCGAACCGGGGCGAATAAAGGTTAATTTTGACGGTTTCTCCCTAGGCAATCCCTGACCCTCTGGTATTGGGGCTTATATAGAAATTCGGAGGGATCACTTTTTCTCTCCTATTCCTCACCCTTTGGTTTTACGGACTCCACAACTGCGGAGGCTATTGCTTTTCTAGAGGGGCTTCAAAGATTCGACCCTAGCTGGAATACAGACCTGGTAGCTGAAGGCGACTCTAGAAATATCATCTTTGGGGACTCCGGGACTGCCACATGCCCCTGGAGACTTGACCACATTTTTGTGAAATCACACATATCAGCAGCTCCATGCATGTCATCTGGTGACACACTTTCAGGGATGCCAATGAGGCGGCCGGCGCTCTAGCTAGGGAAGGAGCTAGCCATAAGTCCACCGCAGGGATTGTGGGCATCTTTTAGGCTTGCAACCTCCTTTTTTCTCTTCTGTTTCTGGTGTAGAGCTTTTTTTCGGCCCGTATTAGGTTTTTGTACAAGGCACCATTTTAATGGGTTTCCTAGTTTTGTATCTGCTCTTGGTTGTACCTTTTCTCCTAATTAATATAATTGTCAACTTATTAAAAAAATGATAAAAATCAGAACAAAGTGACATATTTGCTGGATATGGGCAGTGCTTGTTTAAAAACATATTTTTATAATGATTATAAACAAACATACTATAATTTAAATACGTAACAAAGAAATACATGGTACTGAAACCAAAAGTTTGAACAAAAATGAGGAAACAACTTACTGGATGCCGAGGATCTGCAAGCATTGGAAAAAGGCCCCGAACTACAAGTGACTGCCTTGCCTGCCAAAGTAAAGCCAGAGTAATCATGATTCTTTAGTCTATCTCAAGATTTAAAAGAACATACAGAATACAAAAATAGATTGGCAAAAAATTGAAAATTTAAAGAAAATTTAAAAACACAGGCATTATTAATATATACAAATATGGAATTCAAGAAAACAAACCACAAATTCACAGATAGACAATTCTTTACCCGATATTAATACAAAGAGGAAGGCTAACAGAACCCAAAATTAAATGTATATATCCTGTATCCAGGAAAATCCCATATTTACCAAGCAAGACATATAATACATGAATGTGGATTTCCAACTGAAATGCAAAAAAACCCCTTAAAACAAGATAATGTCATTGTGAACATTACATGAGAACAAAACAGCAGATATTTCATTCACAGATAATGTTCCTGGGGTTCGGTTTAGAGCTTACTTTGGTTTGCCTGGTAAAGACTAAAGAGAAGCACTTTGGCAAATACATCTAAGATTGTTAAACTTCAGACACACCGTTTTTTTATTCCACATATAACTTGGCTTGATAAAAGCGCAACATAGAAAATGTTGTTGCCCATGCAAGGGAAACATATGAAAATCAGAAAAATGGTTCAGTAAACAATATACTTCCTATAGTAAAGAGTTCTGCCAAAAGCAGCACTTTAGCTCTTCAAGCATCAAGTAGAAATCTAGCTATTCCTCTTATTCAATAAATAGCAAATTCTAGATTTTTATATTATCTCGAGCATCAGCCTCACACCCAAAATATACAGAAGAACACAATAAAAGCAGGTTTCTTTCATACAAAAGACAGTGCATTTAGTAACATACTAACACCAAACCCTCACTAAGAAAAAAGGTTCTTAACAATTTAAATAATGAAATAATTTTGTCCAAGAAAAAAAAAAGGAAACACAAATTATAAACTAAATGAGCATATCTTCAGCATACTTCAAATGCTCCAGTAAAACTCCACCGTAGCTGATTTGTTTTCAGGCGAGGGATAACAACAGATAATACAGGCATGGTTGGCCGATATTTTGCAATCAACCTATTCAAATAAAGTAGTGTCAATGATCCAGTTGTTGAAAAGCACAGAAAAGAAAATTAAGGAAAACAAAAAGAGAACAGAGGAAAATAAAAAGAGAACAGTTACAAGCAGAAACTGAAGTAAACAAAACTAACTAACCAACTGAAGTATACAGAACAAATTTAACGATAAGCGCAATTACAGGTGACTTTATCATACAAAATCACGACAACAATACCTCGCTGCCCTTCCCGATGAGGTAAAAACAATGATAACTGAAGCCTTCACCTTGATTGCTGCTCTTACCTGGACAGAAATGCATGTTTGTTCTTTCAGTATCATGACAAACCCTACAGCAAGCTGTTTAAAGGAGAATGGTATCCTTTCATAGGATTAGACATCTTTTTTTGGTGCGTGTCTAATCCTCTGATAACACATAGGACTAGACACCAATTTTTACTTCCAAACAAAGCAACAACTAAAAGTCTTTATTTAAATAAATACCGCTGAGGAAGCAATTGACTCCAAGTGGCTCATTGGTTCACCAACATATTTCACAGTCTTTTTGAAATATGAGTCTTGATTGAAAACCTTCTCTGCCTGCAAATAGAACACTTAACATTATATTATGTCAGGAACAACTAAAAAGATAAAATAAGCAAAGACACATTAAAATGACCACTCCTCATCATTTCCATTTCCGATGATCTACACCACTATTCGCTAAATATAAGCTCAATGCATAAAAAAAATTATGAGAAAAGATTCCCCCACATTCAACCATATGCCCAACACCCCTGAGATGAGCCCAATCATCAGCTCCTTGATAAGCCCCAGCTCCAATGGAACCGTCGGCTGCTTCAGCAAATGCCATCTACACAATCCCAAATTAATCTCTACCTAGTGGCTCAGTCTAAACAACATGGTTACTGAGAAGGCTCATGTTAAAATTAAGTTTAAGAACCCTCATGCATTGTACTACTTCCCAGAGTAGTTCCTCTTTCTCAGAAAAGGCCTTCCAATCTCTCTCCCTTAAACTTTTGTTTAAGGGAAATCTGGGATATGATGGTCGGATTTAAATGTTTGCCCCCCAATTTCAAGTCTTCAAACCTCTGAAAATTTGATTAATGCTCTCCATGCACAAATCGTATAACATTACTTCTTCTTTTTTTAAGCTAAAATCATATAACATTACGTAAGGATAAGTTTGCCAATATATGCAACAAATTTCCAAGATATATGACCAGTTGTCCAAGATCCCAGAAATCGCAAAAGAGCACTAAAGACATTATCTCAAATCCAGATTTCACCCGAAAAACAGTTCCCAAATTCATAAGATCACACAACCTCAAGTGTGTCCAATGCTTCTAGAATGGAGAACAAGGGAGCAAAGAGCCAAAAAGTAACAAAGATTCATAAAAGGTGAAAGTACTCGTGTATACACCTATAAGTGCAGATACACAATCATGTATGCGTGTTAAATGAAGAATCACTAACCACATAATTTAGTTGGAAAACTATATAAGACTACATACTCAGCGGATAAGAACACTCAGGAGATTGAGGATCTCAGAAGCAAGACAGCCAAACAGCTCTTTCCTTCAGTCCAAAACCACATCAATTCCGTGATACAGAGGCAGTTTGGATACAATATTCCTTGAATAACTTGCCAATTTCACAGCCAAGAATTCTGAATATTATGGTGCCGTAGTAATGTTTCTCAATTTGAACCGACCAAGAACATAAAACTCACCTCTGCACAAATTTTCCCAACTATTGAAATGGTTTCAACGGGATATAGTCCACGTAAAGTCTCTGCACCTAGAAGAATAGCATCACTTCCTGTACTCCACCAAACAAGCAAAAGTACAAGCCTCAAAAGATTTGAACTAAAGATCTTCTTCAAATAATAAGAGCAATCTATGCAATGCACATCAAGAAGTTAAACAATATTCATGAAATTTGAAGGGAAGACATCATATAAATAAAAAGAAATGTCGTATTTAAACATACACACCATCCAATACAGCATTTGCCACATCAGTTGCCTCAGCTCGAGTTGGTCTCAGATTGTCAGTCATACTGTCTACCACACGAGTAACCACTGCAGGCTTCCCTGCCATGTTACACTTGTAAACAGCAGCCTTTTGAAACAAAAAAACCTGCAGCAATAATGAGATACAACTGAGCCTAGATGAACTTTACTTTAATGCAAGAAAATGCAAAAAACCATAGAATATTATTTCCTTATACAGGGCAGAGGAACTGCATTAAGCACTGTCAATATTCTCCAAACATGTGATTACATACAACAATGGCTCGTGATTCACTTTTGAAGGGATATATTTTTTATTTTCTTTTGCTCATTTTCATTTGCTTCTTTTCTTTTTTTTCTTTTTTCCTTTTTCTTTTTTTTTCTTTCTCTTTTCTTTTTTTTCTTTTTTCTTTTTTCTTTTTTTTTCTTTCTCTTTTCTTTTTTCTTTTCTTTTTTTTCTTTTTTCTTTTTTCTTTTTTTTTGTTTCTCTTTTCTTTTTTCTTTTCTTTTTATTTTATTTTTTTTTTTTGGTCATGACTTTTGGTTGCTGGGAGGAGAATTGGAAGAGGGCGTTGGTTCGTTTGGAGCAGGGAAGGTAATCTGTATACCAAGGACTTATTTTACCATAACTCTTTCAAGAGTGAAGAATCCATAAAACCAAAACATAAGGATCTGGTATCTGGAAAAAGAGTGGCAGATGCAATAATCTAGAGTAAGATTCTGCTACTTTAAACCACAATTAGCCCTAGGTCATTAGAATACACAATTGGCCCTGGGTCTAAATGTATCAAGCTGAACTTGACGGGTGCATTAGAAGGAATATACTATCAGCTGGAGTATTTTGGGGGTTGAGTGGGACATGTTTCTTTCTGCTTTAGAAATGCAGCCAGAATAGTATTTTGAGGGATGAGTGGGCAGGTTTCTTTTCACCTTAAGATATCTTCTGCTGAATACTTTCACTATGGGGGCCCTATCATGAAAAGCAAATCTATCCTCCCACTTCTTCAGCCATTTAGTACTTTTAAAAACTTAACTATAATTGTCCAAAGTATAATTTTTTAGGCATTTAATACTGATCCCAACTTGTTAATCAGGTTGAGAGGTCTTACAGATTGTATAGTACACTGTTCCAACTAAAAAATTCTAGTTGTGTGAATATGGGGTTAGCGAGAAAGAACAAACTGTTCATAATACATAAAATAATATTTAAATTCTTCTGATCTGAATTCTTCACTCTCAAATTAGAATGCTTCAATTGAATAAAAAGCTAGCATGCTACTCATTAGAGGGTTTAGGTAAGGACAATAACTTGACCACTAACACTAATTCCATCTGAGTCGATTATAGTACACTTTTCTAACTTAAAAATTCTAGTTCTGTGAATATGGGTTTAGCGAGAAAGAACAACTATTCATAATACATAAAATAATATTTAAATTCTTCTGATCTGAATTCTTCACTCTCAAATTAGAATGCTTCAATTGAATAAAAAGATAGAATGCTACTCTTTAGAGGGTTTAGCTAAGGACAATAATTTGACCACTAACACTAATGCCATCTGAGTCTCACCACATCTACCCCAATAATCAATCGCTCATCCATGGTAGGGGTAATAATCGACACCACAGGGTTCCAAATATTTTATTCTTGCACTGAAGTTTGAGTTGGAATTCTATAGTTATTAATCACAAAAGGAATAAAACAAAATAAGCAAATACACCCACTAGCACCAGCTACCAAATCAAGAAGGCATGTCATACCACGCATGCATCCACGTATACATGCAATGTTTGCACCTGAGATAGGAAATGATTTGCTCATCATGACCCACTCTTTTCTTTTTCTGGGGCCAGGTTAGGGGGCAGATAAGCAGTGTGATTAGGATCCCTAACCACCGAGCCAAGAGCCTCAACACCAATCATGACCCACAATATTTCCAATAAAAAGAGCTTATAAGAACATAGATCCATACCTGGAAAGTTCAATGGAAGTATGGTTTTCAAAAGAGACAATATGCACAAAAAATATTCACATTTATCACTTATGCTAAAGTTCAAGACCCTGACCTTCTCTGGTGGAAGATCGATGCCGAGATTTCCTCGAGAGAGAATGATGCCATCTGCTTCGCGAAGGATTTCATCAAAATGAGTCAGCCCCTGCATGACAACCACAATAAATTAGTTAGCATCACCTCATCATTATGACTGGTAAAACTTATTGTATGGATCTTATAAGAAAGTATCTAGAACAGGAAAACAAACTTTAAAGGCATTAGTTTCTATCTACAGTAGTGCATGATAATCACCTCTATATTTTCGATCTTCGCAAAAATCTGAGTCTGATGAAGATCACCCAGCTTAGAAAGGTATGCACGAGCCTGAGTTACAGTCACAAGATGCTTATTACTGAACAGAATACACACAACAAAGAAAATCGATTGATCTCAAGGACCAGAGCTTGACACGTTTAAATTGCATTACATTACCAAAGGCTGTATCACATATCACATAAGTAAATGTGACATGTGGAAGCAAAGCCTGGTAAAATTATTTTGTTTTTCTAGATCGCTAGGTTAGCTTGTTTGGACTTTCTGGGACAAACTTCAAAGGTTGGAAACTTTTAAACCTCCCTCAACCAAACTGATATGTCTACCATTAGGCCACGGCCTAAGGGAGAGAACCGCGTAAGAACTTTTCATCCTTTCCTTTTTATAGTTTGATATTTTTCATGTTGTTCTATAGGCACAATCAGTGTTTTAAAACAAGGACTCACCAGGTTCCCGAGTTTGACTTATTTACTGCCTAGGCCAAGTAGGATGTCTGACTTGGCCGAGCTATGGATAAAAGACAGAGGGACAGCATTCAGTGAGACTTACCCAAGTTTTGGCCTTTCTCATCTGGACCCAGCACCCAGGGAGATCCGAATAACTCGAGCTAGTCCTAGCCCAAGTCATTGGTTTTTAAACAATGGGTATGTTTATGATAATGAAAAATGCATAGGGAAATGCCCAGCAAATGTAGCCTTACCTGGCGAACATCTTCTGCATGACGTGTGTAGGATAAGGAGAGGAAGTCAATGTTGTTCCGAACACCCCATGTACTTATAACCTGGAACAAATTGTACGTGACAAATAAGGACAGGGCATTCATATCATCACATATTTTAGTCAGAAAGAAACCTATTACCACGCAAAACAAAGGTTGAAACATATTCGAACTACTACCTCGTTGACATCCATTTTTCAAGAGATGAAGCTTCAGATTATTGCAGTCCAACCATCGCATAGACATCATTTTCCAAAGGATGAAACTTAAAACTATTTGAAGTATAACCTTCCCATTGATATTCATTTTTCAAACGATGGAACTGTTATATTTTTTATTTGGGATAGTTCAGTGGGGAAGGGGTCCCCTTCAAAAGATGAAACTTCAGATTAGTGTAGTTCGACTACACTAAACATTGGCCACAAAGAAATGCTCAAATTACATCCCACTATAGATTTGCATCCACGAAGTGACAAACCAGATATACATAAATTGAAGAAAGAATCTTGCTTTACAAGATTCAAATGCCTCAAGGATGAACTGTTAATTGACATGAGCAAACTCAACCAACATAAAATCACAAAAGAAAAGAAGAAACAACAACAATAAAATTGACCCATGTATAAAGATGTGATAATGGAAATTTGAGGATTTCTATTGTGAAATTGTTAAGAAAAATAAATAAAACTTACGAGCTGAAGTTAAAAACTTATTTTTCTTGTTTTAGCTAAGAAAGTTTAATATGCGTATGCCAGGGTTGATGGCAATGACATGGTTGCTAATGTATTTTCCAAACTTCAGTTCAGGCTTACCACCAACCTATACTTCTATTGGCACGGTTTCTTTCCTAATACTATTGCAGTATGGCCCGTAAGCCCTATCCACTAAATCAAGATGCCAAACTCAGCAGAACATGGTCTACAATGTAGCAATCAATGTCTCAAGAAATACTGGGAAAAATGCAGTGATTCGCAAACGATCTCCAATAGAGTTGACATTTTATGAAAGAAAACTGAGAACAGCTATATCTATCTATGCCAAATAAATCAACATTCAAGGAATAAAAAACTATAACTTGTAGATTGATCGATTCAAAATTAATGAAAAACAGTTAACATTAAACAAAAACCAAAAAAACTATGTCCATCTACGCCAAAGAAACCAATATGCAAAAAAGACAGCTAGATTTCAGTAGTGGCAAGAGATATACTACCCCCTGCCCATAACTGATTCATGCATGGTTACAAACCAACAAGTTCATACAATCAATGCATCAACCAATTCAATTCACAAAATGCACAGATAATAACGGCCACATAGGGGCACGCCTGTGGGACATGATAACTTCAATACAACAAGGTAAAAAATATGTTACCAAAAGAAACACCCAAAATAAGGACAAATTTCAAGTAATAGCATCAACTTTTCAGGGTAGCTTCTGTTATCATATCTTTTAATCTTTTCCCTGATTATGAAAAAACTCACACATTTGAATATAGAAAAGCATTCAAACTTTTGGGTGTAAGAGGTCAATCTCATACGCACAAACTTACTTCCTTATCGGCATCAGTTAGTGTAGGCAAATCAATATGAATTTGAGAGATGTGCAGAGTGAATAGAGATCCAGCAAGAGTGGCACTATTCTTCACCGTGCACACCACGTCCTCGCCTTTTACATCAGTTACCTGCAAAAGGATACATTACATTACATAAGAAATATGTCATAAAGCATGTTGTTACACAAGTGTGTAAAATTTATTTCAAAAAAATGAAATCAGAGAAAATTAAAATCAATAAAATATGTTTCAAGTAGATATGTTTCATAAAAAGACATTTTTCAAGCCATGTAAATATAAAAATATGTTCAATAAGAAAAAACTGAGGTTATTAACTAAAGAAATATCAGAAGAAAGAGAAAAATATCATGAAGAAAAAAAAAATCAATGCAATCCACCTCTCTACCTCTAGCCAAACAGAAGTTGTCTCACTTCCCGTGAAAAGGTACTGACCAATAAATATAGTGTCTCCGTTCTTCACCGCCTAAATATCATAAAACACTGCCCATTCAGTGAAACAGAACAGAAGAAAACAATTGCTATATAAAACCATAAATCAAATGCAAAGAGAGAAATGGACAAAAATGCATTGTTGCAAGTCCAACTTGTACTTCTTTAGCAATTGCAATACACATGATTCTTTAACGAAAATATGCAATTCACTTTGTCGGGTAAGCCACAACATGTACATCACGTGCAAAAATTCCCATTATAGCAATAAAGCCCAGCCTTCAGCTGTGAGGCATGCACACCTTAGAGAGCCCATCAAAGTTTATCGGCAATAATGCAGATGAAGCTTCTTTCTCTTGATCAGGTGTCAAAGTCACGAGAGCATCTGCCTCAAGTGAAATGGCAGTTTCACTCCTGTTCACCACCTGTAACTCTGCACCTACAGTGTCCAACATCACCTGTAAAGGTTCAGGAATAACACTCGATCAGTATGTTTAGAATAAATTCCCATATAAAATTGCTAAAAGACAGCAATTCGGCTTCACAATTTATTTCTTTCTTGTTACAGCAACAGTCCTTCAAATACATCCACCGTTGAAACATTACCCGAACAACATAATGAAGTCATGAAACTTATGAGAAACTATGTCATGAACAGAAAACCAAAAGTTCCCCCAGATAATGATGGTGAAATTGAAAATGGGCCTAATGGCTACAAAACAGGAAGAAAAGGCTCTGAGAAAGAAAAATCAAACTCACAGCACAGAGCTTCTTTGTACTCTTTACAGCTTTCTTCAGGTTTTCCAGTGTTTCTTGGTGATAATCTTTATCCCCCCAAGAAAAATCGAACCGTGCAACTGCCAAGAGGTGAGACTGATGAGTGCAATTCATTTTATGGAAACAATAAATATGTGATAAAACTAGGCAAGCTCAAATCCAGTCCAATATTATTCATGATAATATGGGAATCAAGCATTTAAAACAACATTAAATAATATCTTAAGATATACATTGAACATCCAATCCAAGCAATCCAGTAATTGAAACTTCAAAAGAACATTGGCCTTGAGATGCAACAATCATCTAAACAAGCATCTGAATTTATAGAAGAACTTGAACTTGAAAAAAACAAAAAAAAAAGAAAGAGAATCAGCGATATTACCAGACATTCCAGCCTTGAGACAGGATGAAATCACTTCAACGGACCGTGATTTCGGACCGAGGGTACCAACAATCTTAGTCATAGCAGGAAAGAAGCTCTGCAGGGTTCTCCAAGTAGATAAAGAGTTAGCCACAAATATTAGCCATCAAAAGCAACAAACCTTGCCTTTTCACATGATAAAGCAGAAAATTCGACTTCAACAAGCCATTTTTTTATTTTGATCCATGGGAGAGACCTTCCTAGAAGTGCTAGGTGATTTAAGTGAGCAAGCCATTGCTAAACACCAAATCAAACTTGTTTGTTTTCATTTTCCTTTTGTTTCTCACTGAGTCAACACAGATCTTGGCAGCAGGAATTAAAATCCTCCATCAAAACGATATTTTTATAACAGCAATGGTGAAACAACGAGTGAGGAATCCTAGTCTCTTTTTTTTTGACCTTTTTTTTTTTTTTTCCTTCTGAAATTTAAGAAAGCATTGTATTAGTGAAAACTCTTGCAAAGAACATTAACAGCAATTAGATATTGAAAAATTCCACCTGCAAAAGCAAAGAAACTGAATGGATCCGCCCTTCGCTCGTTACAAAGAGAACCGAAAAGGAAGGAGACATCATTCAAAAGTTTATATTTCTACTTCTACTTCTTATTGTAAACTAGGAAGACAAGAGACCAGAACCACAAAGATGAAAAAGAATCACAGTAAAAGGAAGCAAGGTGCGTAATGAAGTATTGACAAAAAACAAAATAAAAGAGAGTAAAAGGGAGGGGGGGGAGAGGTAATGGATTGTAGCACTGACGGGCTTGGATGGCTCGAGAATGGAGGCCATCCTTATTGGCTCCTCCAATAGCAGGTGTGTAGCGTGCATCTTTCCGTGTCTCTCTACTCCCTCGGAAGATCGATTGATTCCTCGTCCTCTGATGCAGCGAGCCTAGGAGAAGAAGAAGGGGTGGGGAGTGAGCATGATATATAGAGTAATAATAAAGCGGCAAACAAGGGGCGGGCGGACCCGAACCGTACGGCGGGGCAATGTAGCGTAGGTGCGGAATGTGAGGTGGTGTGGTGTACAGCACAGGAACTCGGCTTCCTTCAGGATTTTGTCTCCTCAAATAACACGACCGCACCACATTCAACTTTCCACTCCACTATTCAAGTACTGGTTCTATGTTCAAATTTTGAGTTTGGATGAAAATAAGTCGAAGATCTTAAAAGAAAAAATATATATATATATATATTGATAGTTATATGGCCGATCTAAATTTTTGATTGGGCTCGGCTCATTCGCCATCAAACTCGATAATTTAGTATGTCCATTCAAATTTTAAATGTAAGGCTAATTGTCTCATACGAGCTTAACCGCATCACTCCATATGCCATTCAAAAAGTATAATGCATCCATTTTAAAGGTGGAGGCAAGTATGTGTTCCATTTAAAAACAATGGAATCTAATGGTCCAAATGTTTTTTTTATTATAATTATTATTTTTAATTTATTTATTTTTCCATATTCACGATGTCGATGTTAAATATTACATGTCCTTAAAAATTAAGTCCAAAAGTCCATCTCAAAAATATATTTATTAATAGCCTCGCATTTCTGGTTTGATCGTGTAGAAACCAGTCTTAAAAATATTTTTTTTTTTAAAAAAAGGTGGGGCTAGTTGTATCATGGGGAACTAGCAAATTCTCAATATTTCGCATTAATTGCTTTGTCCCCAACTATTTTCGATCCTGATCAGCCAGTTTCAATCAATATCGGCATTATTTTAAACACCGGTGAAAATTAATTTTTTGTCGGTTTTAAACTGATTTTGACTAGTTCAACCAATTTTATTTTAGGAAAGCTTTCTATGTTCCCCCTACAACATATAAGTTCTATCCTCCCCCTACCATCCACCGTCCATTTTTTATCAAAAGAGCCACTCATCGTTTGATCTTATATCCAACATCTCAAAGTATTTTATTTTTAATTTTTTTAATACAAGTTTTATGAATATGAAATTTGATACGTGCCATTTTCTCATTGGGGCGCACCTATAAAAAATATTAACAATATTTTTTTGATAAAAAATAATGACCAAAATAACCCTTCAAAATTTAAGGGGTTTATTTTTTTGAAAATATTTTTTTTATATTTTATGTTAGTGCGAGTTTAATAGATGAATGGACATCCAAAATTTGGTATCAAAAAAGTTTATAGAAAGAAAAATTAAAAATATAACAGTGTAGAGACGTGACATTGTGATTGGGCTGATATTAGCCCTCCATTAAAAAATAGACGGTTGGATAAGGGGGATGATATAACTTTTATGTTGTAGGGAGAACATAGAAAGCTTTCTCTTTTACTTTTATATTTTAAAACTCTTATATGCAACTATTTATCTATTTTTAAAAAATCAATCTAATTGAGCCAACAATTGGTTCGGTTTTGACTAAATCGAATACTTCAATGGTTCAGTCACCAGTCTGATCTCCCAATGCCCACGATGATGTTCAAATACTATTACCCCTTATTTCTTTAAAATAAATATAATTACCAGCCTTTGACAATTTAGATTGAGGTACTGAAATTGATTGCTTTGGCCCTACTTTATCACTTTCATTAGATCATTTAATCTCCTGTGGTTTATAGTTCACGATAGGATTTTGATAAAGAGAATTTTGGTGAGGCAGCCGACTAACCTCTTATCATGCGTCAAATCCACTAAGAGTTGAAATGAATGATGAAAAAGGAATTCAAAAAATAATATTTATTTTTTTCAAATTTAGATCATTAACATGGTTGAGATTATCAAACCCTAAAATTTCGGATCAAAAATACATATTTGAGATATATTTTTGAGCGAGACTGCACAATAATATGTGAATCGGAGGACTCACCGAATACTTTTCTATTCGGTAATTTAGGGCCCAATTACAAAAACGACCCCACGTGTTCAGGATTGTCAAATGGAATATTCTCACATAAATTCACAATTAAAAAGTGTGATAGGTTGTTCAGGCCACTTACGGCCAATTCATATAAATGTCACTATTTGTTTCAAGTTCTAAACCCAAAATAGTTGACTTTAATTGAGAATGCATTGACTTCAACTGAGAATGCATGCTCTTGAATTATTGAGTTCCATTTGGCTCGATACGAATGCCTAAATTATAAATAAAAAAAATGAATTTAAAATATTCTAATTCCACAGGAAAAGCATTTTGGATATCTTTTAAGGACACGTTTGGGACACTTAATAATTTTTTTTTTGGAATATAATTTAATCCTAATTTTTAGAGAATATATAATCTTTAATATGTAGATTATTAATCTGTAAAAATAAATAAATTTTAGAAACCGGAAATGGTATTTTTTAGAGAAAATATTTGACCATTAATTTTACTTTTTCTTTAGAGGACTATTATTTATGGTATAGATCTGTACTTTCTTTGGTGGATGGTGTAGATCTCCAAGCCTGCATAATAACAGATGCAGGCTTGGACACACCAAACAATTCTCCATCTTCTAATAATAAACTCGATAAATTAAATCGCAGCTATAATATTGTGTTAAACCTCTCACGGAGCCGAGGATTAAAACAATCAAAATAAAGGATGCCTTCAAATAGTGTCAAAAAATGTGGTTTCAATACTGAAAATATTTGTGACAGCTTGAAAATATAATTTTATTTTTAATTATAAAATTTAAAGCTTAAAAAATAGTGTCGATCGTGTAGTGAAAACTTGAAAATCTTGAAATCGACAGTCAAAAAATGCGTTACAAGATTCATTATTTCCAAAACTTGAAATCCTTTTTTTTTTTCTCATGTCCATGCATCTCGATATCGAGATGATCAATTTAAGGATATTTGGGCATCAAAATAACTTATTCTAGTGAAATTTTTTAGGTGGGTTCTAAATTGACTATTCAGAGCCTTGGCTCTATATAAACTTTTCCCTTTAACATTTCACCCTCTCATCAAAATACACATAATAAATCAGCTATCTTAACTACAATTATGTGAGTTTTAATGAAATTTTTTAAAGTAAATCAAAATAATAGTGAGAGGTTAAATAGTTTACTCTTGATAAATTTTATGTTTCTTTTTATTTAGTAATTTATTTGCAAATAAGTGCTTTAGTATAATAATGTTTTTATTCTTATTGTACAATACCATTTATTTTTAGTATAAGGAGGTCAATTTGTACTAGTCATTAGATGTCAAATTGGATGGCTTGGGTGTGTCATAGAGTTCGATTTTTTTTTTTTTTTTTAAACTTGGAGTATAGTCAATGATACACTCACAATCATTCAATTTGAAATCAAATGGGCAAAAGTAATCGTGACCTCTTGTATTAATCAAATAGACAAAAGTGATTGTAACATCCTTGTATTAAAAGTAAATGACATTTTTGTACATAGATAAATTAGTTGAATTCATCGCCTCATTCATATTTTTAGATATTCAGTGATCATATTTTATCTTATTTATTTCTTCATGTGAATGACAACCATCGCTTCCAGTGCTTTGAATGGGTGGGGCTCCTTTTATTGAACCATAAAACAAAAAACATATGCTTTGGCTTTCATGGCTGAAGATGTCAAAGGGATGGAGATTCCACCTTCATTCAAGTAAGAGATTACTTGCGAATTATACAATATCATACACCAACCGTGAACGAACCATGGAACGTCTTCAGTATTGGAATATCCATCGATCAATTTCGGTGTTGAACGGTACAGATCAACTGGATCAGGAGATGTCACATGATGCAACATCATGCACCTCCACGATAAAAATTTCCTAATATTTTAATAGGATGGTGTCAATCGGAATGGAAACTATAATGTGGGGGCTAAGGTGTGGAGGTGCTACCACCACTACGACCGTAGCCCCTTTCCCATTTTCATAAATAAAGTTGGGTATTCTATATTGTTTATTTTAGTTGAGTAATATAGATGTGTCTATTTTAGTTTAATAGTATAAATTTAACTGATTTATAAAACCAATATTAAAAAAGTGACGTGTTTTTTAAAACATTGTCCAACATACACTATTCACATAAAAGACAAGGTGTAGATCAATGGGATCTTTATATAAACTTCGAGAACGTTTATATAAGGTTGACACCTTAAAATATAAAATTAAGGCGTATATTTAAAATCATTTAAAAATGGCTATTTTGACATTGAAAAAACATCTATTTGATCATTTTGACATTGAGATGTATAAATATAGAGAAAAAAAAAAGAGATTTAAAGTCCGAAAAATAGTACATCTTCCAACATATTATTTAGACCATTCATTTTCAATATTTTCGTGTGTTTATAGATCCACTTGATTTGAAATATTTTTTTAATTTAAAATTTTATAATTAGAGATAAAAATATGTTTAATATATTTTTGCATCATCCTAATAATTTTCAACACCAAAATTGATCTCATGACAAAGTTTGGAGGTGCACCTTATGCTGATTGTTCAAGGTTGCAACCAAATGCAAACCACATCCTTTCCTATATGGTTTATATATAGTGTCTACCTTATACTATAGAAATAAGCCACACCTCCACAACTCACTGGACAATGTTGTTCCGATTGATCATCTCGACCTCGAAATGCACGGATGTGAAAAAAAAATGATTTCAAGTTGTAAAAATAATACATATTTGCAATATGTTATTTGGACCAACCAGTTCCAATATTTTAAAGTGTTCATAGGTTCGGTCGATCTACACTATTATTAAAACTTTAAATTTAATAATTAAATATAAAAATAGATTTGAAGACTATGTCCAAACCATCGGCATCAATTCAGGGTACGCCTTACTTTAATTGTTTAAGACTAACTTTATAAAAACCTAATCCATGAGTAAAATATTTTTTTTTCACTTTGTGTGTGTTGACCCATGCCTGGTCCATGCTATAGGGGTGCTTCGCCCATAGAGTAGAGATGCCCAGTTGACTTTCATGCCATTCGGAATTGAATGGAGCCATCTAGAAAAAGTAATGTTCACTTGATAATATAAATGTTCTACGGTCCTTCTCATTTGGGTGTAGTTTCTATAAGGTTGTAATTTTAAACCATCCAATTAAGGTGCACTTACAAAATGTATAATGTAATTTTAGTATAAAAAATTATTAAGATTATATGAAAATCTATTTTCATATCTAATTATAAGATTTTAAATTTCAAAAATATTAAAATAAAATAGATTTATAAACATATGAAAATCTTGAAAATTGATGGTTTAGATGTGTTGCAAGATACTATATTTTTAAGACTTGAAATCAGTTTTTTTTTTTTTCATATTCATACATCTCGATTTTTTTTTTTTTGAACTTCGTAAGACTCCCTAAGCCATCTAATTTGAGGCTATGAATAATTGTGAACTCCTTATACCAAAGATAAATGGTTTCGTAGTATACAATCCCTCAGGGGTTGTTTGGGTACCTTGAAATCAATTATAGAAAAATATATTACAAGGAAATATGTTATTTACACGTTTGGGTACGTTAGAGTAGGCATGAAATGAATTGAGATTACCCTAAATATTCCAAAAAAGCTTAAGCTTATAATCTATTTTCACAAGGGGAGGGCGGGAAAATGGATTTTATTCCAAAAAAGCTTAAGCTTGCTATCCATTTTCACAAGGGGAGATGGATTTTACCTTAACGGGTAATCTTACTGCACACAATAAAATGTTAACCCTACATGGAAATCACAAATAAATCTTACCGATTCAAGAGCTAAGTCTGCATTAAAGTTCACATTTTTTAGTATCACCAACATGCTTCCTCAGGGTCTACTCCAACATATAAACATTGAAATTTAATATCTTTAATTTGAAATGTTATCTCATGTTTTAATATACTTTAGATATTGTCAAATGAATCCAAATGTTTAGATAATTTTTTATTTTAAAGTAAGATTTTCTCATGAGTGAGTAAATATATAATATGGTAATGCATACCATTTCCTCACGGATTGTATTTGAGATTATCTTTATTTTAAAGATAATAAATTTTGTACAATTTTGAATAAAATTATTTTATCAATTTATAATTTTTTAAAAAAATCCTATCAAATAAATTAATTTTTATAATAATATAATTATATTTTGAGTAAAATTTCTATGTAATATTTGGAGCCCAAAATAATGATAATACATTTTTTAATTTTTTTTCATAAATAGCTAAACAGTAACAATACATTATCAGGTTGCATTCAGATGCTACCCAAATAAGATCATTCCAGTTTCAGACAATATAAAACAAGAAAGTATAAAATGCCTTTGGTACAAGGTGGTGGCAATACATATTGGCCATTAGATCAAAGTTGAAAAAGAAATTTTTTAGAACTTTACTAGCTATGAAATTTCATATCAACCATTGGATCAAAGTTAAAAAATAAAATTTCTACAACTTTCTAAGCTATAAAATTTCAATACCAAGGCAAAAAGATAAAGTTCCTCATACAATCTCATATGTTATGCCAATGATGAATTAGGCAAATAATTGATTTCTAGCGCATCATATTTAGAGGAACCCGTATATGCGATCTTCTCCTTCGTGAAACTCGTTTCGTGCTATTCTTAATCGCTTCGCCGGGCACCGAGAGGTGAGAGAGAGAGAGATGGCTGAGCAGAAGCAGCAAGAGGAGTTGGAGAGGGGAAAAATGGTGGCGACTCCCTCTTTCGTAACCTTTCCAAAATCATCCAATAACACTGATACCACCGCTTCTGTCAAACTCCAAGCAGAGGACTCTGCAACAAGCCCTAAAAACATGTGGCAGGTTGCTTCATTTGCTTTTTTCTCCCTCTTAAAACGAGTACCATGTTCTCCTTTTTATGGATTTCAGATGGAATTGTCTGCAAATTTCTTATGTTTATCTCTCATCTACAAACAAGTGCTTTCAAGCCTAGAAGCAACTCTTTATCCGTAATAAACTGCTATTAAAATTGTTTATTCCTTTTTTTTTTTTCGATTTTTTTATAGCCATTTTGACAGGGTAAAACCCGATCAATACTTAATACCCTATGTTAAATAAACGAAACAGAAATCCACCTTTCTCTGGTTTGCTCACTGAAGAAATATTGTGCTGGAGACTCTGTGCTAAGTTTTTCTACAAGGAGCTCACAGAGCCATCAGCTCAGTACATGTGGATGATAAATTGCTCTCAGGGATGATTCGCTTATTATTTTCTGGATATTTGATCTGTAGTTATCATTGGTAGTAATGTATGATACTTTTTTTTTTTGAAAAATTAATGTATAATGATACGTGGATCTCTATTGGTGCTCGGTCTTTCCTATTTAGAGGCTTTCCCGAGCTGCTTCACCAGCATTCATGTCCATGGTGGCGTGTCTCGGTAAGTGGTGGTTAATGGTGCTCAATGTTGAGCATCCAGCTATGTTGCATGGACATGGATACACCGGACATTATATTCCCCATTTCTTGAAGAACAAGATACAGTGACGACTAATGAAAACGATATAAATAGTTAACACAATCCAACATTATTTATTAATATTCTGTTTTATGATGACTAGCTGAAAAACTAAAAGATGCCTTCGTTGGTTGAATTTATATGCTTTTCAAAGTTCAAATGACAAGTTGACTCACCTCACTCCTCTTGGTTTCGTGGTTTGATGACTTGAGTCCAAATTATTCCTATAGAACTTATTCTCTCGATTATATCAAATGTTTGGGATTTATCAAATATTATGGGCCTCATTTGATTGGGAGGAGTTGATAAAGATTTGCTATCCTGATGCATAGCAATGTTATGCATTCATCTTGATCAAAATTAAAATTTATTCTATTATTTTAATGCCAAGTCATGGGGCCGTCACTTGGTGTGATGGTAAAAGGATCGGGTAGCCAGCGTAAGAGTGCAGGTTCGAGTCCTTAGAAAGAGTGCAGGTTCGAGTCCTTAGAGCGGCCACTTTGTGCATAAAAAAGCCAAAGGTTAGGACCGTTTCCATCTCAGCCTCCCGGGACCTTGCGTAGGCAAAAAGCCAAAGGTTAGGACCGTTTCCATCTTAGCCCTCCCGGGACCCTGCGTAGGCAAAAAGCCAAAGGTTAGGACCGTTTCCATCTCAGCCCTCTCGGGACCCTGCGTAGGCCGGGACCAGCACCGAGTTATGGCCCTTCTTCTTCTTCATGCTCAGTCAGATTCCCTAGCTCTTGAGGGAGAATGGTCAGAGATTCTTGAATGCAGCTTTTTTCCTGTTTATAATTTATGCTTTCCTTTCAACATTAGGGCTTATGCCCCCTGGTTTCAGATTGTTTATTTTCTTCTTGTGATATAGCAAGGAAGACAAAAAAAAGTATGTGTTGTTCAGAATAACATATATTAGTTCATCAGTAAATAACATATATTTTGTTTGTTCTCATGCATTTTTGGGAAGTATACTATAATCCCTGTCACTATGGGAAATCTGTAGTCGTAATTCACAAGGGTCATCATTGTGCAATCAATGGTTAGACGATGATGTTGAGAAAGTGGGATGGACACCCACCTCTGGAGTCATGATGCATTCCAGCTGGTCCTACTCTCTCCCCATCACTGTCTGACCATTGATTTTTCTCTGATGCTTTTGTGACTATGGATTTCTCACTGTCATGGTATTACAGCACACCTTCACCAATGCAAATCACTACAGGGCATTTGACATACTTTCCCACTAAACCTTTATATAGTTACTTAATATAGGCTAGCTTGATATATCCATTCACAATGTTTCAGCTTTATTTGATAAAATTAAAAATTGTTTTATATCAAGGATTTTAAGAGTGTCAAAAGTGGGCAAGATAATTTAATGTTGTTCTTATCATTCTCGATACTGTTTTAAATAAAGAATGATTGTGTACCGACTTGGGCCCGAAAGGAGAGAACCAACTGAATACCGAGCCCCTCATTGGTACTGTATCTGTTGAGTTAGAATATAATTGGATGCTGGAATTTCGGTGTATATTATTGGGATTTTCAAGAACGAAGGAAAAGAGGAAAAGCTGAAGTAGATCGTAGATTGAATATTTCAAGGAATCCAATGTGAGACCCAAGCTGCTGAAGTGGGCTTGGTGTTCCAACGGCTGCTGGATTATTTGTGCAGTCCTAGTCTGGATGTGCTTCTCTTGACACTACCATTTGCCCCAGGATTCTAATAGGCTGCTTTCGTTCCAAAGTTGCCATAGTAGCTAATGGTTGTGACAGTTAAATAAAATTCGGATTTAGCTCAACCATCTTAATGCAATTTTTTTTTTCTTATTGAATTTTATTTTTCTCCTTATCAATGTCTCAAATAATTTTTTACCTCAGGTTTATGCTCTTGGTGGTTTCATGGTTCTAAGATGGATCTGGGCTAGATGGAAGGAGAGGAAAGCTAGAGGAGGGTCATCTGAGGAAGCATCCACATGAGGTATCCATATATTTTTGATCTACAGGACTGCCGCGCTTGATTAAAGCTCTAAATCCTATGCACATCTAATTTACTTAATTCATAGTTACTTTGAAGGATTTTCATAAATGGCATCTTCTTCCAAATTGGGATATGATGAAGTTCTGATAAATTACATGGGTATTCCATGCAAGACTATGAATGTTGTTGTTAATGCTTGATGTCCAAGCATGGAACCTTTAACTTCTAGAATTTCAAAAGGGCAAAAAAAAAAAAGAGCCACAACTTCCAGGACATCAGTTGGAACCCATAGAATTGTAGGTTGCTCTTTCAACTTTCCAAGTGTGTTCATCATCTACGTGTGTAAACTTGTATGATACATCCATAAAATTGTGGGTGCTCTGATATTACAGGTCTTTTTTTTGCTTTTAGTGTACTCTTTTGATCCTGGAGGCAGGCGAAAGTTGATGACGCTTGGGAGAGGAAGGCATCGCCTTTAAATGGGAACATTACTTTTGTGGTGATTTTGACAGTTCAAATATTTTCTTAATTCTCTACACTTCATCTCACTTATGATTTGAAGGACTTGTAACTGGAACACAAACTGGTCTATAATGTGTATAAGACAAACACAGTAAAGATTGTCAATTTGCATGGCAGTGGGTAGGCTGGGTGTTCGATGCATTTAGGAAGCTATACAATATGACTGTTGAACTTTGGTACAAGAAGCGCACAACTATTCGTAGCTGTCATGTAAAATTGGGTGGCTGGAAGTGCGCCCTGGTTTGCACTCAAAAGCATGATATATGTTTTCAAATTTTATGTAAAAATTGACTGCTTGATTTCATATTTCACGGTTTCGAGTGATTGTGATTTTTTTGTACCAAATGTAACAATATTATTGCAAACAATTCCTCATGTGTTTACACTTCATAATCTAATTTCCGATCTCTACTCAGGTGAGAATTTATTTGCACCCTGAGCAAATAACTAATGAAGAAATGGAGACTTCTAGTCAATATTATTATCATCATTATCATCAAAATCTTTAAGAAAAGCCAATCTGGATTGAGAATCAGTTATTTGGATCGGGAATATGTGGGATCGTCTCGATTTATGGTTGGAATCAGTGATTCGCTCCTGTATATGTCAGAAAACTCCATAATGAATTTTTTTCAGTTTCTTCCCTTTTTTTCAATGGTTTCATGGAAATTTGCGGAGTTTCTTAATTTTTGATTCCTCACCTAGATTTGTATAGAAGCGGCGAAATGAAAATTTTGAGATTTGGCTATTTGTTTTCATGCTTGGTCCTCCACTTTCTAGATTCTTTGTTGTGTTTCAATGATTCTTTGGAATCGAGCTTTTTTTGTTTTTTGTTTTTGCCGTTCATCCTTGTTATATATCTTTATGAAAGCCTTTTGATATAGAGTCCAATTCGAAGAAATCAAAAGGTTTGAATTTTTTTGGGGGTTTTTCCCATTTGAGCTCGATTTTTAATCTGATTGGAAACCCGTATTTTAAGACGGGTTAATCCTAACCTGGATCAACCCTTTGGATCGAAATTGCATGATCCAGATCACAAACCAATGGTAATTGAACCATTTATTGGTTGAAACTAAGGATTTGTCTGATGGCTGGTTAGATTTTTTTAGGGAACATCTATTCGGACCGACTCAATCCCCAATTCTGACATTTGTAATTTTTTTAATTTTTCAATTTTTTTTAATTTTTTTTATTCCGGATTCTCACGAGAAGAATTGGTCGGATCGTTAATTTGGATCGTTGATTTGAATTATATATTATTGTGATATGTAATTATATATTTGGATCGTTAATTTGCCTGGATAGCCATTACCTCACAACATCTATGCAGTGAAAGAATGGGTTTTTGGAAATTAGGAAACAAAGGGTTTTTAGAGAGGAAAAAGTTTATATAAGGATGAAACCGTATAATGTAGAACTACGGATGCGCTTAAAAAATCCATAGGAAAAGATAGTTTTAATGTTGAAAAGCCTTTTGATTGATCATCTCGACATTGAGATGTATGACCATGAAAAATAAAAAGATTTTGTCTAAAAAATAGTGCACTTTGCAAGATATTATCTATATCGTATATTTTTAAGATTTTCATGTTTATAGATTTATTTGATTTTAACCATTTTTTAAATTTAAAATTTTATAATTAGATATAAAAATAGATTTTGAGATAATCTTAAGAACATTTTACATCAAAATTAATTAGCTTTAAGAATGTATTAGTGGGGTAGTGTTAGCAATGAGAATGACAACCACAAGGTGTAACTAGGGTGTGGGGTGCTACCACCATGACCCAAACCCCTTTCCCATCTCTCGGGCCCCTCTCTCCCACTGAATGCTTGGCCTTGAGGATGAATTGGACCATTGTAAAGGTAATGACAGAGAGAAACATCTCCATTGCCCACTAATCTGCCGTTTCCCTGTTCAAAACAAGCAAAACCTTAGCTTATGGATGTCTGAAACGCTTTCCTAACTCACCTTCACCAAATTCACCTTCACAGTAAATCAAATATCTATAAAAAATTGAGTAAAAACAATAAACAAAACCCAATAAATCTGGGCAAAAGAAAAAACAGTTACCAAAACAAAAACAAATGGGGTAAAAAAAGTAAACAAAAACCAAGTAACATAGTTGTAAAACCAATAAACAAAAAGGCAAAAAAAATTGGGTAAAAAAAAGAAGAAGCAAAATTGGGTAAAAATCACCAAACAAAAAACTAAAGAAAATTGAAAAAGTGTAAACAAAAACCAAAAGAAAAAAGAGTAAAAAAAAAAAACCAAAGAAAAAGGACTAACAAGAACCAAAAAACCCAAAAAAATTGGGTAAAAAGCAGTAAGCAAATCTCATAGAAAAATAAAAACCAACCATTCTCAAATTTTCATTAAACAAAGTTTGCAATTAACCTTGATATCAATTATATGAAAACACCCCTTTCATGATGGATAATGGTGGATAATGGCGATGCCAAGTAATAGCAAGCACGTGGTGAAAACACTGGGATGCAAAGAGACCATGACAAACGGCATGTTGCGTATTCAGATAAGGGACGGTTATTCTAAGAACACATTAGTCGCAAATAGAACATTAAGGACGTGATTGTTTAGCTGAAAGATTTTCAAATCGGTGAAAGTTATGCGTTTGACGCACAATAACTTTCATTTTCTTATAAAAGATATCTTCCAATAAAATTTTTATTTACTCGTTAAAATATAAAAGTTTAAGTTCTTAACTTAGTATTTCATAACTTTTTTTTGCCACTATTCACTATTAACTATTGGGAAAGGTTTCTACCTTTCCCATATAGCATAGAAGATCTATGCTTCTCCTACCATCCAGCCGAATAGTTTTCATAAAGTAAGCCACTCATCGTTTCATCTTGAATCTGACGCCTCATAATATTTTATTTTTAATTTTTTTATACAAATTGTATAAATGTGAAATTTGGTATGTGTCATCTTCTCATTAGGGCGCACCTAAAAAAAATGTTAAAAATAAATTTTCAATAAAATATAATAATCAAAATACCCATGAAAGTTTCATTTTATTTTATTGGGAATATGCTTTTTTACAATTTTTTACAAGTGAGAGTTTCATAGAGGATTGGACGTCTAAAATTTGGCGTCAAAATATTTGATAGAAATAATTTAAAATAAAATAGTGTAAATACATGACATTATGATTGGGGCAATCTTAGCCCTTCATTCACAATGGAGAGTTGGATAAGGGGAAATATATAAGTCTTATGTTGTAGGGGAAATACAGAAAGCATGCCCTTAACCATTTACAACATAATATATTATATAATATTATATTACATTATATATTTATATTTATTTTTTTAGTGCAATTTGTATTTATATTATATTATATATAATCAAGATATAATATATAACATAGATATATATTAATAATATATATAAACTATATTATATTATGTTATATATATTGTCTATTTTTATTTATATTGTTAATACAAATATATATTAATTTAAAATATGAAAACTATATTATATATATATATATATATATATATTATATTTATATTTATGTTGTTAATAAATATTTGTTATCAAACACAATACCCATAGCTTTTTTAACATTCGAGCAAGTTATCAAACACATGACCCATAACTTATTTAAACCTTCCAAAATAAAACATTCTATTTTCAGAAGAAATAAAATAATTTTTCTTTATGAAAGATATCTTTTAGTCAAACAAATGCGTCCTAAGGGTTCCTATCAGTCTATCACATTGTTTTGTTCTGTATACCAATGTTGTTAAATTCGCTTAGGAGCCTTCTTTGGTTTGGTGAGAAAGAGTCCCTATCAGTCTATCACATTGTTTTGTTGTGTATACCAATGTTGTGAGATTCACTTCAAAGCCTTATTCAGTTTGGTGAGGAAAATGAACCAATTCAATACTTTGGCCGATTTGAGGGAAGACTTTGAACATTTTTTAATATAAATAAACTAGATATTTATATATAAAAATAATAAAAAAATAATTTTAGATAGATATTTATTTGCTTCGGCCAAATAAGTTGAAGTTTCGTTCGAATCGGCTCGAATATGACAGTAGCAGCTCAAAATAGACCAAATTTTATCGAAGCAACAACACCACGCTTTGCTTTGAGTCTTGGCCTAAAATCCAAAAGATTTGTCCTCTTCGGTCGAGAAGCAAATTTGAGGACATTGAGGTATACAATGCCACCCCGATCAATCTTATGATTATGGAGCTGATAACTTCTCCCCAAAGTGGTATACACCGCTACCTGGATCTCTCCCTTATGTTCCTGCGGGAGCATACCCTGTCCATCTACTTCCTCATGCAGAAGACTACTTGGGAGAAATTTTGACCTAAAATCTTTGGTAATCTACATAGTAATCATCATATTACTATTTTTATTTTTTTTAAAAAATTAAATTTTAAGTTTTTCAACACTTAAATGTCACCGTCAAGTTAAGAGACGGTCTCTGACAAGTATTATTATCATTTTTGGAATTTTTCTGTTTTGAGGTTATTCTATAGGTTAAAAAAGTCAGATTCTAAAATTAACCATAGATTAGAATTTACTGTAAGAGTAAATGGAACATAGCTCCCACAGGCCCATAAACTGTTGTATATTTTTTTCCTCTTTGTGTGGCATAGCCGTTGAAGTAAAAAAAACCAAAGAAAAAGAGAAAGAGGAAGATTAATGATAGGATAAGAGAGAGAGGATAATGACATGCACAGAGAGAGGATAATGACAAGCATATTGTGCGTGAGAGAGAGAGAGAGAGGATAATGGCATCCACATTGTTTGTCACCCTTGAAGCAGGACATCCAGCAAAGGAATGTCGAGGCAATGGCTGCCTTTACCAGTTTATGCAGTATCCATCATGAGACGCAGGCACGTACACTCACTCACTTGAGGGAGAGAGAGAAAGAGGTAATGAACCCGGACCCAACCCACCCGGGGGCCTGACCTAATTTGGGTTGAGTATGAGTAAAATGTGGACCCGGTGGATTAGATCCGAGTTGAAATTTTAGACCGAAAAGCACTATTTACTATTTCGGTTTGTGTTCGAATCCAATCGGGTTCAGGACCGGTCGGAATTTAATAATATTTTTTTTATACCAAAATATAATTAAATACATCATCAACAGTTTAACTTTTTTTTCAATTATGTAACTAAATTTATAGATATTATTGTTTTTAAATCGGATCCGATTAGGTCAAGTCGGATTCAGTCCTAGATACTTGTCGAAGAGTTAGAGAGAGAGAGAGCGACTTTGTAACGCGGAGAGGGAAAGTGCGTGTTCTGTTAAGATCGAAGGGGGAGGAGGAGAGATGATGCAGCCAGGTGGAATGCCACGCTGTAAAACCCAACTTTTCAGAGAGAGAGAGCAGTGTGATCGAAAAGCCTGTTGCGCAAATCATTTCATTTCTCCCTCTGAAACCACAATTAATTAAATTGTTAAATTTAGATACAGAGAAAGAGAGAGCAGGGAACTTTTTTTTTTTTTAGTTAGAGAGAGAGAGGTTTTGGGCTCCGTCAGCTCAGTCCCCACAAAAAAATGAGACCATTATTTATTGGGCAGATGGTGACTTACAGAGAGAGAAAAAGGGTGGAGTGGGGTTTATTCCTTTGTCAAAGAATCAACAGAGAGAGATTGGCAAAAGAAGAAATCAGCGAAGCACAGTTTGTTTTGTTGTAATTAACCTTATCATGCAGCGCGCATGGCCGGGCAGGCTCTTACTGCACCAGTGGTGGGCCGCATTTAATTAAAAATTAAATGTAATTGCCATATTTGGGTTCTCATGCCTTGCCTTTCATGGCCCCCCCGCTCTTTGGTTGTATTATTCGTCAGCACCCACCCTTCTTTTCCCTCCCTATTCTTCTTCTCCTCCTCCTCCTCCTCCTCCTCCTCCTCATTGTATTATATGGCATGCCATTGCTCTCTTCTCTGCAACCAAAAATGCATTCTCAGAATCCAAGATCAGAGGGGATGTTGCTGCTGCCTCTCTCATCCTTGCCCTGATTCTCCACCGTCGACAGCTCTTCATCGCTGTGGCCGTCATGGCGCCTATGAGGAAGGATCACGGCTTCTATCAGCAAGGCAATCACTGGTATGCATCTTCACATAGACACTCTCTGTTGTTTCACTTTCCTAATTCTCATAGATTCTCAATTCCATGGTGCCAGTGAACAAAGCCCTCATGGCTTCCTTGCCCTCGTGGCTTTTATGGCTCCCCACCTTTGGAAGCTGCTGATTTTAAATTTGAGCCCTCATAGAGAACTGTTTCTCTCCCCCTTCTTTGGCTATTGTAGCTTAATATCTCCACAGCTCTTTTGAGGTCTTCAGATGTCTTCTTCGTTTTACCTGGTCATGTTTTTATCCTCTTCAAAAGGGATCTACTCGGAGTCTGTATGCTTCTATATGCTAAAGTATATAATATATGTGGTGACAGTAATTTACCCTCTGATTTATTCTTGCCTCATCCAACAGTAGTGTTGAATTAGGGTTGAAGCTGCAATGTGGTAGGAGCCCCTCAAGGGTTCAATATGATGATACATGCACGCCTCAACTTTTCTGACTTTTTCTCATCAATTTCTGGCAGTGATCACTTACTTCACACACACAAACACACACACACACACAAAACACAACAAAACAAGGGGAGATTCTAGCTGTTGAAGGCTTTAGTTTGTTTCTCTAGCTTTACTGAGATGGGTGTAGGTGTCGGGTGCCTGATGCATGTAGTCAGAGGCACAACTTTCTAAATGTAATCTTAGTTGGGGCTTGTTATTTTGAGGTATAGCAGGAACACCATAAGGAGGGGCTTAGGAGTTTAGTCATGTTAAAGTTCATCAACCACAAGAAAGAAATTACATTTTCAGGTGTCATGGGTTTAGGGTCTTGGCACTTGCCTAGGGATCATGGAGTCCTCTGGTTTTTGTGTTGGATGATGTTTAGAATGATAGGGATATCTGTGAGATCGCCCTCAGGCGCTTTTAGTCGATTATCGATGTTTGGATCCAACATCCCTGTTGTTGACGGCAGCAAATTAGTTAGGGAAATGTATATTCAACTGTGTTGACAACTTGAAAGCCTTCTACCTACATGTCTTTGTCTCCCTCTTCTAAATATTCAACCCTCGTAGAACTCTCCATGGATCTCCCTCTTCTAAATATTCAACCCTCATAGAACTCTCCATGGACCGCCAGCTCTCTCCTCATGTTTCTCTTCCTAAAGCTTCACAAAATACTCGCTTAAGGCTCCCTGCCCTCCATGCACTTCTCTCTCATCCTCTCAATGTCTTAAACCCTCAGGAAAGATTGTGATTTGCAATAGAGGTGGGTGTCCCTTTAAATAGACGTGTAGGAACTGGATTGGAATTCAGGATTTTGTCTTCGACATGTATAGGATCTAAGTGATGAGAGAGCTATAATCTCAACTGTCAAGCCTAGGTCAGCCATAATGATCCAAGGGCTGGAATCACACCCCTAGTAGGACTCCTCCCACAATGATCCAATTTCCACAGAATTCCAATTCTAGAAACACCAGAATTAGATTTCCTTAACTAACTAAAGTTTCCATTACTAAATCTTTCCAAAATAGAATATTTCCCTCTATTACATTCTTACTAACTAGGATTCTAATCACCTCAATTGAATTTAAAAAAATAAAAACACAAAGTAACCATACATGGAATAAGATTCCAATATTCCATCTAGAAGCTCAGTTTGGGTATGCACCTCCTTGATCAAGAAAGGCCTCCATACACTTTCTATCCGAGGGATGAGTGCTGTGTCCCCATGGCCAATGGGCTCCATGCGGCTCTCTTGGCATTAGCGTGGGCCCTAAAATAGGGCCCACTCGTGTCTCCCACCCAATCTCCATCATCATCATCATCATCATCATCATCACCATCTGAGCCTTATCTCGATTGTTTGGGATCGGCTAGTGAATTATGTTCCACCGTTCCACTCTTTCAAGGGCCATACCCTCAGTCAGATCATAAGTCACCATATCTCTTCTAACTACTTCCATCCATTTCCTTTTGGGCCTTCCCCTTGCCTTTTTAGGCCTTCCATGTGAACCAAATCGCCCCTCCTAACTGGTGTTGTTTTAAGTCGATACTGCACATGTCTAGCCCAACTTAGCCTAATTTCCCTCGGAGCCACCTCTAAATTCCCTCAGATATGTTTTTTTTTTTTATAAAGTTATCGTTAAATTAAAAGGGAAACGAAATACAAGGGTCCATAGATAGTGCCCACAAGCCGGGTCTCTTAGCCAAAAAATGAGGTAACCTCTAAGAAGAGGTCCTGTACAAAAAATGAGGGTCTTATAACAGCATCCTTAACACCGATGTACAAAAGCAGGCAATAACAGGGGTTGTAGAGAGATGTAGAACCAAAAGAGGGTGAACAGAAAAAAGCAAACCCAAAGGCCAAAAGAAGTCGCAGCTTTGAAAATTAGGGTGCCCAAGAACTAAAAAGTGGCCACGACTTGTGCGATCGCTCCTTCCTTAGCTAGGTGGTCCGCCAGGTCATTTGATTCCTCCAAATATGTGTCCATGAGAGGAGATGATTGTAGCCCTGCAAAGGTGAGAGATCTCGTCATAAATAGGGGCGAGGTACTAGGGAGGGGTAACTAGACCAACGGCCCAAGAAACTATATTGCGCGCATCCCCTTCCATCAGCAGGGGTTGGCCCCACTCAAGATTGAACAACTTGAGACCCGTGAGCAGAGCCAGAGATTTAGTGAGCTGTGAATCAGCCTGGTTGATGTGTTTTGAAAAAGATGCTAGGGTGTTCCCTTGGTGATCTCTAAAAACCCCCCCTACACCAGAGGAACCCCCGTCGAAATTAAACTTAACTACACCAGGTGGAGAAGGGGACCAACCACTATGCCTAGCGGGGCGACGATGTTGAACCAGGAGAACTTGTTGCCAGTTCAAAAGGAACAAGGAGGAGGAGATATCCTTGAAGACCTTGTGATTAGTGGCTCAGAGGATCACTAGAATATGAATCTTGTGAAACAGAGCAGAGGTTTTACTTTTGACTCCTCGAAAGATCCTTGCATTCCTTTTTGTCCACAGGACCCATATGGTGGCCTCTATGGATGCCTTCCAAAGGATCCTACCAGCTTTGGGCCAAAGGGAGTCCTTGGCTAAGTTGAAGAGGGCAGAGATAGAGGTGGGCATTACCCAAGCCAAGCCAAAAAGGCTCAAGAGCCTGCTCCACAGGTTATGAGCTAAGTCACAATGAATGAAGAGGTGAGGATGGTTATCTTCTTCGTTGAGGCACATAACACATCGATTCGGGATAGGAATTCCCCTGTGCTGAAAGTGGTGCACAGTTAGCGCTCTTTCAAAGCCTGCTATCCAATTGAAAGCTTGCACTTTCGGGGCGCTATTGAGGACTAAATCTTGGACACCACAAAGTAGAGGTGGGTTGGGGGTTCAAGCAGAATTTTGTAGAAGGAAGAAACCGAGAAGGAGCCCGAGGCAGCTGGGGTCCAAATGATTCTATCCGACCCGGAAAGGGTGAGGAAAGTTTCATGGAGCAAGGCAGAGAGGGATATAAAATCAAGGAGTTCGGCATCAGAGAGAGAGCGCCTAAAAGAAGGGTTCCATAACCTACCGTTTCTGGCAACCTGTAGTTCTTCCGAGATCCAGGAAGAAGGGTTGGTGGCGAGCAAGAACAAAGAGGGGTATTGTACCTTAAGGGGTGTGTGGCCCAATCAGAGGTCAGACCAGAATCGAACCCTACTACCAGCCCTCGGGTGGAACCGAATGAACTGTTTAAATTTAGATAGGGTCGACGGGACGGATTTCTAGGCCCCCGAAGACCTACTAGATGACCTTCCCTTCGGCAGCCAGGCATCGGTAGGGATTTTATACTTGCAGGGAAGCACTTGTGTCTAGAGCAGGTTCGAATTATTCGTCAGTCGCCACCACCATTTTCCCAACAAAACCATATTTTGTTTTCTCAAGGAGCGAATCCCTCACCCTCCGTGATGTTTAGGTAGGCATACTCTGTCCTAGGCAACATGGTGGATCTTTTTTGACTTAGAGTCCCCTGACCAGAGGAAGTTCCTCTTCAACTGTTCCAATCGATTGGCTACTGCTGCAGGCATATGAAAGAGAGACATGAGTAGACGAGGGTGTTGGATAGAGTTGTCTTTATGAGGGTTTTTCTTCCCGTAAAAGACAGGAACCTCCCTTTCCAACCGGCTAGCTGGCGGTCAACTCTATCAATAATGTTTGACCACTGTCTCTTCTTGGGTTTACCAATGCCCAGAGGCATCCCCAGATAGCTGGTTGGGAGATCCTTCACCTTACCTTGCCAATCTGGAATCGAGGCTCTTGTTTCCTCAGGGGTGAGAGAGACCCCTATCATAGAGGACTTTTCCACCATATTTACTTTGAAGCCAGTGCCAAACTCAAAACACCTGAGGAACATGCGAAGTCATTCAACATCCTCTAGGGTGGCATCAATGACCACCAGAGTGTCATCGGTGTATTGCAAGTGGGAGACCGTACGTCCCCTCGTACTGCGATTGAACCCATTCAAGAGGCCCTTCTGGTACAAGCGGGAGATCGATTGGCTGAAAACTTCGGCTACAATAGAAAAGAGAAAAGGGGACAGAGGGTCTCCTTGGTGAAGACCTGTAGAAGAGGGGAAAAAACCTTTAAGAGAACCGTTGATCAGAATGGAGAGGTGGGTGTTTGAGTAGCAGCCCCTCATCCGCCTTCTCCAACGGTCCCCAAACCCCATTCTACCCATGGTTTCATCCAAGAGCGACCAATCTACGTGGTCGTAGGCCTTCTCCCAATCAATCTTGAATATGAGGCCTGGTTTTTTCTGTAAATGTCTAGAATGAAGGCACTTGTGTGCTACTAGGACTCTGTCTAGAATCAGTCTATCCTTAATGAAAGCACTTTGGGATAGGGAGATGACGAAAGGTAGCACTTCTTTCAACCTCGATACCAGAACTTTTGAGAGGATCTTGTTGGAGGAGTTGACCAGGCTAATCGGTCTAAAATCCTTCACTTCCTTGGCTCCTTCGACTTTCGGGACCAAAGCAATGAATGTCGCATTCATCGCTTTATGCAGTATG